AATCCAGACTCTCAAATATATTTTGAGATTATGAAATGGTCCTGTGAAATCTGACAAATCTGTGTATCATGAATTTCAAAGATAATACAAATTGCATAACAGATCTTATTTGAGAGTCAGGGGTTGCTGAGGGTTATCAATGAAGGATTGGTACATTTAGAGCCCAGTATAAACTGATGTTTCTGTGTACTGTATATACCGAAAAGTAGACATAATCAATATGTGATCTGTAAAAAGGTTGAGGCAGGACATGGCTGGTTTGCTCCAGTACCAGCTCGGATGTCAATAAGCAAAACAGTCTGCCCACACAGAAAAAATAATACTACAGTGCTCTGATTTACAATGAACAAAAGCAAATGCACCTTTACTCACTGTATTCTACTGCATTCATGATGGATGTGATTCACATAATTCTGTGATCTTAATGTAGTAAGAAATAGCGAGAGATAAAAAATAAAGTGTACCACTGGAGGCCTCAATGATCCAGCTGCCAGCCCATAAGAGTGCAAGAGAGAGGACAGCAGTGTAGATGTACAGCTCAGACTTGGGAAGGGCTGTCTTGATCCCCATGGTTAACCTGAAGAGAAATCTTAACATTAAAATCCTGTTACACTCTTACTAAAATTAACCATTGACCACTGCCGAAAATAAATTAGATAAATACAATGGAAACTGATACAAATTACCTCCACAAGTTTGTTACGGTTGTTTTTGATGTTTGTTATGGAAAATGTTCATAAAACAGTCATTTATTAGGATGTCAAATCGTATTTCGTATAACGTTAGTATTTTATTAGCTCCGCGCTCATACTCACTAACGGCCGTTACAGGTCAAGCGTCACTCACTCCTCAGAGATCCACTGATTCTCTTCTTTCAGGTACTTTACAGCCAGCTCAAAAGTTACTTTTCGAATTTTAATAAGATATATTTTTGGTGTAGTAATACAATTTATCTCTAAAACGGTAAGAAAATGAAAACAGCTGACGGAGAAGGCGGCGAAATTTTCACCTAATGATATCAGCGGGAAAATATCTGTCCAATCACAGGAGACTTATGTGAGGTGAATATTAATATTAATGACGTTACAAATTTGCAGTTGCGTTAAAAAAAGCTACTATTTAGAAGATAAATATAATAAAGTGCTAGGAATCAAAATTGTATAGTTTTTAAATTTCATTTCATGATTTTTTAAATTATTAATATCATCATTGTGATGATTATTATTCACGGTGACTACAACTGAAACTGCACTGATGTTGTCAAGAAATGTGACATGTCATTTCGGGTTTTGACACCCAGAATCAAGCTTTTCTGGCAGAACTAGTTTGCAAAATCCAATTTATAAAGGAGTGGTGATCTGTAATGCTTTAAAACTTTTGTGTAAATGGTACAGCAAAAGCATGTTAACTTATGAGCCTTTTAAATGTTAAAACAATTTATTTGCGCAGACCATTCGTTACCGTGAAATAACAACATAATGTTTGTTACTGTGTGTGCTGTAAACTATACTGTATTAAATAATGTAGCCTCTCTGCCAAGGGCCAACAGTAAAAGTAAACGCTGTTTTTTTCGATCAGAGAAGACACTCCTTACTAATTACAATAGGCCTAATTGTTGTGAAGTTCACATACAATGATCATCAATAATTAATGCATAAGAAACAAATTATTTTACCAATTATACGCCAACACCAAGACACTGCAGCCTCACAATCCAGTTACAATAGGATACAGATACAACAAAACTAAAAGGAATTAAACAGCAAAAACTTTCCCACAGAGTTGACACCCAGTCTAATTATCAGAAGACAAGACTTAAGTGTCTTAAACGGGAGTGCCTCTTTTCACGGCTCCTCAGAAACAGCACAGTCAGCTGCACCGTACAACCTCTTCCTATTTTAGCCTCAGCAGTTGCTCATGGTACAGAGCGCCAGCTGCATCGCAATGCGATCTCCCACACATCAGGAGATCCTTCGGGAGTATGAAAAACCAAGGACTGAACTCCCAAATTAATTTCATTTTAACATTGAATTAATTAGGAAACCATGCGTGTACCTGCTCAATTAAAATCAGAGTATTTGTGTCGACTAATTAATATAGCCTACGCGCAAAACTGAAGTCCTTTTACATGTAAATAATGCTGCACAGCTCTAAACGCCCACACGTCGCCTCATATATGATCCGTGGCACTCTATCTGTTTACAGCACCGTGTACAGTAAGTACAGTAATTCAAAAAGAAGTGCACTTGCTCAGTACTAACCTCGTATGTGCCTTTCACAGCCGCTCAGATGTCTGAAGACAGATGTCAACCCCCACAAAATTGAAAAAAGAAAAGATAAAGGGGGGTGAGTAGGGGCTTCTCCTAATACATCCGTCCCGGTTTCCCAGTGCCGATGGTGCACTGTGAGAGGCAGCAGTAGCTGGTGTGGATGTTGCGGGGAGGGGTGTAGAGAATGTATTTATAATCCGGACTGGAACTGCAGAGGGGTGGCACCAGAACTATCAAAAAAGCGCACAAATTCAAGAACCAGCGCTAAATGGTACAGGACAGGTGCATGATGGCCGGTTGGAGAAATGCTTTGTTATCTTCTGGTCTGTGGGGAGATGTACTGTACTGTCCAGAAGCAGTCCCTCGTGTTAATCCAGTGAAGATGAACTTCAGCCATTAATTGGCATTATACACTAGCGGCCAAAAGTTCGGAATGCTTAAGGTTGTTAAATGTTTTTGAAATAATTTTTACTGTATCTTTGATCAAATAAATACAGCCTTGCGGTAAGCACAACAGATTTCTTTCAAAAGCATTCAAATTTTTAATGAGTCCAAACTTTTTTTTCTTTTTCTTTTTTGTGTAAATTTTCCAGCTGTGGTCTACAAAAAGGAAACTAAAGCAAGAATCTGTTAAAGGTTTAATCTGTCAACTTTTGTTATAAAGATTATGGATAGGGTAGCCTACGTCTCACAATGCTTTAAGTCAGTTATCATGTTCCCTGACATAAATCAGCAAGTCAATTGCATCAGCCTATATGAATCTATCATTCTTGGTTCTGTCAAAATTTTGCACATATAGCCTAACGTTAAACCCGAATTGCTGTCAAATGTTTGGAAAAATTCAAAACAGGTAACAATAACACATTCACATACTTTAAAATGTTTCTACATGCAATTTGCTCTCATATAATTGCAAAACAATAAATCAATGCTACATGGCTTACCTTAGCCCACAAGTTAATCAGTTTACACTTAGCGTAAATAAAATAAAAAATCTAAACATAAAAAGCACTATTTGTAAATATGTGACAATTTATGTTTCATATGTGTGCTCTTACTCAATAGCCTTTATGTTTTGCTCTTCTGTTGAACTGACCGACCGGCACAACATTAAATACAGACCAGATTGTTTGTTGTCTATGTTATTTTTTATTTTTCTTCAGTTTTAACATAATGACAGCGAGACAGCGGACCAGGGAAACACGTGCGAAAAAAACTGAAAGTGGCAGAAAAAGATTTTACAAAACTGCAACAATATCTTTGAACAGCAGATGGAGACATGCGATAGATATTAATTTCTTACAGGGAAAGCCCTCAACTATTTAAAGGTGCAGTATGTGATATTGACAGCTAGCGGTTGAAATGGGTCCAAATTCAAAATACTGTTTCTCCCGCCCCCTCCTCCTCATACAGGACTCTCCAGCGGGTTGTCAGTTAGGACACGCAACGGGAATGAACAACGAGCCTTTAGGTGATGATACATGGGGGCAACTTTTTGAGCAATATTGCTTGGGCACTTTCCCATTAAAAGGGGTCATATGATGCGATTTCAAGTTTTCCTTTCTCTTTGGAGTGTTACAAGCTGATTGTGCATAGATAAGATCCCTGAAGGGCAACAATTTTCTATCTGGATACTTTAGATCGGTCGTGGGCCCCGTGTCTCACCCATCAACATTGCTCAAAAAGTTGTCCCATGTATCATCACCTTTAGAGCTTTTTAGATGGATTCCGAGTTTTTTTTTTTTTTTAGGTCGGGTAGAATCTGCGACCTCTGACCCCAGTTCGTTTGCTCGCTTGCATGGCTGCCATACGCTGTTTTCCGCTCTCTGGCAACCCGGGGTGTCGAAATGAAGAGTTCAGATGCAAAATCCTCTAAGTGCCGTTTGAAATTTTCTTCTAAAATTAGCATTTTTATCAGGCTCCTATGTGTAGATTCAGTAATTTCACTTTAATGGCAATGAATAGTTTCTTTTCCTTCCCATTAAAGTAAAATAACTGAACATAAACATAGGAACCTGAGAAAATAACCAATTTAGAAGAAAATTTTAGACGGCACTTAGAGGCTTTTGCATCTGAACTCTTCAAATACTATTGGGTAAACTGGCAGTGGGCGGAATCACACAGATCAAAACAAAAACAGCCATTCCGACTCGGAATACACATTTTCAAAGTAGAATAACTGGCATTGTTTTTCGGGGGAAACATGTGAACTTAGCATTTTTCCTTAAAATCTGCGATGTATTATGTTTTTATGCTTTGGCACAGTCAAAAAATTACATACAGCGCTTTAAACCTCACAGGCAGAAATGTATCCCGCTCTTTATAATACAAGCACAGGCAAATTTGCACATTTATTGAATTTTACTGTGTGATGCCGATGCCTGTTTACACTGTATACACATTACTGTAAATAACAGAATTTCACTTTTTATTTGCATATTAAAGCTGCTCAATATAGATTTAACAACAGTAGGAAGAAATCAAAACAAAATATAGAGCTACATCCATGAATCTCTAAATCTCACTCTTATTCCTCTCTTATTGTATATTTCCCTTTCATTCTTATGTTTACGAAACAGAGCTGAAAACTAAACCAGACCAAAGGTTCGTGTATTTTATTTTGACTTATGATTAAATATCGCAGCTCCACAGTCAAGTTCCTAAAGCGTTGATGAAGAAATCAGTCAACTTTGTTCGGACTGGCGACTGCGTGCGCCTAGCTGGCCGTGCTTTTATTTTTAATATGAGGGAGGGGGTTCCCAGAAAATACCTCCTCCTGCTGTTCCTCAGCTCTATCTCGTGAATATCAAACACTCGCCGTCTCCATATTGGAAGCAGACATCAGAAAACATGGAGAAGCAGTTTTTGACGATCGCTTAAACGCACAGATGTCGGCGTTCTCCGCTATAGCTCCAGGAGTTTAACCGCAAGCGTTCAGACATCGCGCGGGTCATTTATTCAGCCTAAATTTGGAGGTTTCGTGGTCAGCTCGCTAACGCTATCTTATATTAGCAATCCAGCCTCCAACTACTTGTTAGCCATTCGGCGCTGTCGCAATTGATTTTTGTTATGCGCATCTGTACGGGCTGATTGATCAAATGTGTGTCCGCGACGCGTATTTTAATGCAACAAAACGCAAAAATTAGTGGTCGGGTGCAGTCCGTTCGCCCACGCTAGCCTGAGCGACAGCAGTCTGCTGCTGGCTGGAGATCTGCCATTAACTCTACTAAGTTAGCTGTTAGCACAACCTGAAACACGGACACGGCCAGAACTCGCTGGAAAAAGGAGCTAACATCTCGTTTCCATGGACAACACGTCCATAATAACGCAGGTTACGAACCCCAAGGAGGAGGAGATACTCTCGTCAAATGCTGAGAAAGGTGAGAGGTGTTTTCGTGTGTTGAAGTTGCTCGCCGTAGCGCGTTTTGTTAGCTTTAACGTTACCCACCATTTTAAACGAGCGGGCTGCGAGCCCCAGTCAAGAAACATTTTAGGCATTGCATTACCGTTGTACTACCAGAAGCGAGAATAGGGCATTTTTTGGTAACTTTTTTAATGTGCTTTTTATATGACAGTGTGTTATTGTTGATGCAGAACAATGTGTTTATATAACGGAGTCGCCGTAAAGGCGCAATGTAACGTTAAACTGCTGGAGACTGAAAGTTTGGGCTTTGTCAGCGTCGGTCGCCCGTGATGTGGAGGGAGAGCAACACAAACGTTTCTTTCTGTCACGACTGGCAGAAGTGCTCAGGAAGAATTGCACAAGTAGAGTGTTTTAAAGGGCACATGTTTTATTCAGAGTGTTTTTAAGAATCGGTTCATTTGTTCTTCTTTCAGCCAAGACAGCAACAGGAATAATTAAGTAGAAATGCTATTCAGTTGCCTACATTTTTCTTACTCAACAGGAAAGTCAGTTGTGTGATGCTTTAGGTTGTCAGGGGGTAAACGAACATTTTCATATATTTTACAGCAAGACACCACAGGTGAATAGGGCACACATTTTCTGAAATGTCATTTAAATGTTTAAGTGTGCAAATGAGGCAATGTAATTATGTTGGCACTAATTTGCGTAAAAATCCATTCATTTTGTTGACATGTCAGAGTTAAAGAATTTTACAGAATGGAGTTTGCATATCTTTTTTTATCTCTCCATAAATCTGAAAATACTGTCAACAACAGAATGATAAAAAAGTCATTTTCACCATGTTTTTAGGCATAAAGTGTTATATAAATTAGGCAAATGATACAGGAACAAACCTAAGATAGACGATAAGAATAAAACTGGAAAATTTGGTGTAACTAAAGATTTCTGGCTCAGTGCATGAGAAACAAATTTTGAGAAAGTGACCTTTAAAGATATGCAATTGAAATAGGAAAAAATTGAAATCGCATCATATGACCCCTTTAAATAAACACTGTAAACACTGTTTACAAAAAAAAAAACTATGAAAGCAAAATAGCCCCAAAAAATTGGCTAGTGCATGAAAAAAAAAAAAATAGAGGTGTGCCTATAGTATCTCGCCTTAAATAAAATATAAACATTTTATATGAAGATTGAAAAAAAAGAAAAGAAAAATGAGTTCATATGTCTCTGCTGCAGAGATATGCAGCTGTGAAGGCAGTTTTGCAGGGCTGCCCATCAGAGGATGTCCGGCTCTGACAGCAGGCATTTGGATGTAGCACTTCCAGGGCTTTACCTTTGACCTCTGGGAGGCTGAGTGGAGAAGCTGTTCAACAGCTGCCCTCTTAAAACAGCACAGAATAAAGTTGAACCATCTAAAATGGTCCTTGTGCTCTTGATAGCCTATTAGGCAACACTTTAAATGCCTTTTGTGACTCCCATATACTGCCTTGATCTCATCCAGACCAGGCCTCCCTCTTCAAAGCCATTAATGAGTCTTTCCAACATGTAGATTAATATTAAGCCAGAAGTAATTAAAGCCAGTAGTAATTACAGGTTTTTTTTAAGAGCAGCTGCATCTTCTCATGCCTTCAGCTCTGATAGCATCTAAGGGAGTCCGCCGCAGTGATCAATGTCTCTGGCCCGTTGCCTGACAGGGATCTTTTTTGCATTCTGTCCACAATTATGTAAAACTCCCTGTACTTCACTGCATTTTATTCCTTTACTTATTTGGAGTGCATATGGAAATAGTTTATATAACAACTAGTTGCTCATTGAGTGCTTTTGTAGTCTATATTTTTGCTCTTTATTTGTGGTAAAGGCATTTAAATAAAAACTAGATTACAGACAGATGTGTGTGTATGCTTTTTGTGTGTAGGTCTCTGTTGTGGAATTGCAAAGACGCCCTTGTTGCGACAGGCAAATCAGTAGACCTTGATATCAAGATATGTTTTTACACCTCAAAGCATGATGCTGAACAGGTCAACTCCTACAGTATTCTTGAGTGAAGCCATGCTGCTGTTCTGCCACTTATGAAAAATGATCCACTCTTTTGAAAACAAAATAACACCTCATAATGCATATTTAGAAGCAGAATCTTTCCACTTGTCTTAATTTATGATGCATTTGATAAGGCATTAGATTTCATACTTAATGTGGGTGTAAAGTATTGCAGAGTTTTAGAGAAGAAAAGCATGAGATGTTCGGCTGAAGCTTTGAGATGGCTAAAGGGGCGGGAGAGGAATGCACGGTTCTCATAGGCTGTTCATTTTCTTAGCTCTGCCTCTCCTGCTGCTGCCCCTCCTCTCCTCTTCCCTCTCTCCCTTAAATTTTCCCCCTCTCTTGCTCAGCTATGCTTCTGAAGTCGTCACTGAAGCTTCAGGAACGAGGGAAAATAGCCTCTGTCCCTTAAAATGGTTCTGGAGTTGGCAGCCAATAGTGGAGGGACGAGGGTTTAGGAGCCTAAAGGGGATGGGGTGGGGTTTGTAAGCGAGTGGGGTCTAGTTTCATTTTTTTTCCCCTGCTTGTCACTATTTTTAAAGGGCCTTTACTTGCTGGTGACCTCAGTGTTAACATTTAGAGCCTCCGCTGTGGCGCTGGAATGAAGGCAGGTTATTATTAGTGTGTGTGTGTGTGTGTGTGTGTGTGTGAATGAGGAGAGGAGAACCGTGAGGGTCTTTGATGTCGCCTCATTATGTGCCGTGTATTGGTGTAAAGCCAGTCCATAATCAGTAGTAATAATCTGAATGTTTAATTGAAGATCCCATGTGACATCCTGCACTGGGAGAAAGCCATTTCCCTAAAGGGTGTTCGGATGTTCCCACCACCAAGCGTCCTATTAAGTGTTATTGAACTTTGTGTCATATATAAGCTTTGCTGACTGAAGTGAATGTAACCCAAATCAAACATTAAAACTGATAATTGATAACCGATATCATGGTCTATATCAATATATCTGTTAAAAAGTTTGGAGTTAGTAGGATTTTTATATTTAATTTTTTTTAAAGAATTAACAGTTTTATTGAGCATGAATGCAATTAAATTGATCAAAAGTGACAGTAAAGACTTTTTTTTTTTTTTCAAATAAA